GAGTAAAACTCTCTTACTTCTACTTTTAATAGTATTCCTGTATTATTCATTTCACATTTAGTCAGTTGTACACATCATACTTGTCAGTGTTTAATGACAAATTAAAACACTGGTTCTATGCAGGAAATACCAGGTAGAGTTCAAAAAGAAAAAAATTGTATAGGTCCTCTGGACGGGCCCCTCTCCAATGAAACGCCCCGCCCCCCCTCCAAGAGACCTCCCCAGTCCGAGAGCCTCAGGCAAAACCCAGGCCTCTAAGCCCTGCCTCCATGTGACTGATACTCACATCACATGGCTATCGTTGACACCTAATTAACACCTATTGTTAACAGGGGGTGGAGCGATACTGGCAATAGCCGCACTGTAGGAGGGGGACAACTGAATGCCTGCAAATATTAATGAAAACCTTATGCTGCAAAAATGAAACGAGTAACTCTGCTGAAAAAGTAATAAAACTCAAACTGGAATGTAGCAGATATTTATTTGATCACTGATATTAAAAGCTCAGTTCGTTTAAGGCACAAACCAAACATTTTCCAGCAGCATGTTTATATAAAAAGACGAGTCGTTTCTTAGTGTTGCATCGTTTCCATGTTTATTATATGACAACGTGTTTAGTGAACACAGATGCTAAACTCCAACACTCAGACACTGACTGAACTACTTTGCTGTTTTAAAAGTTTGTAATGGGTGCAACTTTATAATACACTGTTCACAGCAATCATGTTTATATACAATGCAAAAGCATCTGAACAGGAAAACAACGCACTGGTGCAAAAGAGGCGTGGAAGCACAAAAATGTCAGCGATTTATTCGATAGGGTTGGGGGAATGGAGGTTTTTCATGTGAAGGCTGCTGCAGTGAGATGGTGAGCATGAGAGTGGAAGTGTAACAGTAAAGCAGTCTGTGATGTAAAGTTTAAAGAGAGGCTACAGATTGTGAGCCATAATCCTCCCAGTCATATACAGATTATTTCAGGCTTGTCCTGAAATGTTCATATGGTTCCTCAGTTAGAACTGGACTACAATCAGTAAGAAACCAGTACTGGGATCCAGAAGACAAGTTAACACAGACATTTAGGCAGAATAAGTAATTTTAGATATCATCGTACATTCAGTGTAAACGTTTGTGAGTGCACTAACAGAACTTTGGTTGGCTCAAACGTGATGCATATTAAACACCTGATGGATGAAAAATAAAAAGCAGATATATCTATGGAGCAATCCTAGACCAATGTTTGGGTTTAAATGAAATGAAATGACACAAACACACACACACAGGAGTTTGATATAAAGTCATGAGCGGAGCAGTGGGGGCATTTCCCTCCCATGATGATGCTTTAGTTGCTCAAACATAAAGACAATCTGAGAAGAAGGTTTGATGACATATCGTAACATCGATCCACCCTGTGCTGCACAATAAAACTATATTTTACTGACAGGCATACACACATATATCCTTGAATACATCGGCTCTAAATATTTCCACAACACACAGAATACCAAAACATGTCAAGTGCAGTATGGATTACAGTCTGGGACGCCAAGTGTAAAATAAAATGTTAAAAAATGTCACACATTTTCATTATTTAGCTCACTTTCTGAGTTTAAAATCCAGGTTAGTTTTGCTCATTTTTTGTTTTACTAAATGCTAAATGTTACATAATATGTGTAAATATTCAATCTAAAAGTGTAAAGCTAAATGAACAGAATAAATTTTAAGTGCTGCAGATAAAAGCTTACATTTAAGAATTAGAGAAAGGAACACAAGGCTTTTGTTGTGATGTCATCATCTTGTGACATAAGCGCTAATGTTGCTATTTTTCACTTAAATTTTTTATTTTAATGCTAACACTGTCATAGCGCTGCTCAAAATGGTATTTATTTAAAATTTAAATTGTGTTCATTGAGACCAACATGGATACTTGTGGTCCAGCAGCTCAGACTGCAAGTTTGATGTCTTGCAGTTAGCGTTAGCACAGTTAGCTGCGCTAGTGGTTGTTTCTGTCACAGGATGATGATGTCATAAGAGCCAAGCACCAACAGCAAAGCCTGCATTATTTTCTGAAATACTTAAATGTAAACTTCAACATTTAACGCTTGCATTTAGATTTAATATTCACATATTTAATGTAACATTTAGTAAATATTAGCAAAATGTCAAAATGGTGAGTTACAGTAAGTAAATGATAGTGGAAACGTTTTAACTAGGATTTTACACTCAAATGTGTTAGTGATGTTTTTTAACATTTTATTTTACACTTGGTGCCTCATAATATACCTTCAGCAAATAAAAAGCAAACATTAACATGTGGTGGGATGTTCAGACCACTGATAAAATGATATTAGACTGAATATATCAGAACATTCTTGTCTTGTTTGGTACAGGTTCAATGACTTGTGATGAGAGTCAGAAATGAATTTCATCAGTGAGCGTGCTCCGTAGGCTGGCTGACCTGAGGCACGTCGAGTCCAGTTCACCTGACAAACTGAACATGTGGATGGGTTCAGGACCAGTTTGAGTAGCAGAAAAATAAATAAATAAATAAATAAACTGCTGAAAGGATTGAAACCTGTAACAGGATCACATTTAACATCTCGCTCACTCATTAACAGGACAATCAGAGCCATCTGCTTGCAGACAATCCTGAAGTACAGTATGTCAGTGCTCTGCTGTTATCATGAGATATTCGATTATGATTGAAAACATCCTCAGAGGATGAAGGTGATGAGAAGGAATGTGACGATATGATCTGCAGACATTTCCAGAACAGTATTTTAGCAGCATGAAGGATTGGTGCAGAGGCAAACTGTGCAGAACGTTTGAAAAGAGAGGCACTACACTTCATATCATTCAGAGAACCAGTTTCACATTGTGTGCTGTGAAGAACAGAATAAAAGTTGGGATCTCACAAGGTTTAAAGGGATAATCTGGACATGCTGAATGAGGTTCTGTGGAACAGTTGTGAACAGTAAATATCTTACCTGTTGTAGGTAGCTGTTTGAATGGATGCCATTGCATGATTGACAGAAGTATTGATGTTAGCTTTACGTGATTCACTATGAAGCTTTGCAGATGGAAGATGCTTTAAGATGGCAGCCTGTGAGCTAACTGTTAGCTTTTCAGTCCTGTTGGTCTTAAGACCTCTGCATGGTCCATTTGAACCTATTAAACCAGCTCTCATTGATGATGAAAATTGTGTCATTTTGTTCTCAGCTTCATGGCGCCCACCTCTTCTTGTTACAAGGGCCAGGCCAAACATTTCATGCCCAAATGATCGTGTGATTGGTCAAAAGTTTGTGGGTGTTTGTTTAGGCTGAAAAGAGCTCGGGCAGCAATGGCAGCGTTTGTCTGCAACAGGTAAGATATTATCCAGTCATTTATTTTATTTCCCGGCTTTTCAGATCAGGGTCATGGAGCTGAGGCAGGGTAGATATTAAGTTGTCAGAAATTTTCCACTGAACACCACTTCATATTGCTCAGAAAATCCCTTTAATGTTCTTTGACTAACACTATATTGACATTGTTTTATTATTATTAGTTATTAGTTGGAGCAAACCTCCTCCTCTCCTAATCTTAAAGTGGACAGAGTTATCCACGTTGTTTTTCCAGCACGTTAAACTGGCTGATTCATGATCGTGTTTAATAAATCATTTTAAAAGCATTACCAGCCTGGGGACAAGGATACTTTATTTAAACATTTAAGGAACTCATTAAAAAGTGCCATGTGCAGAAATTGCACTGTACTACTACTTTAGAAATATAAACATCTTTGTAAATAAATACAAACAGAAATAAATATGAAAACTGTTAAAAATCTAAATATATCACAATTTAAAACAAATGAAATTCAGGTAGAGAAATGAGAATATATCAGGAGGAACAAAACGATGGTGTCTGACTGCATGTGGTGAAACTTCACTCTAAGAGCTAAAATGACAGATTTGTGTGATAAAGTTTTTATAAGACTTGAGGAAAAGGCGGCAGATTATTCCACATCTGGATTCATAGATCAGAGACGTTAATGTGTTGTTTTAAAGAGACACTACAATCTTGGTGTATTTCCTGGCTGTATGACAAAGCAAACCAGTTTAAACACAACTTATTGAGCAATTAGGAAAAGAGAAGGTTAATTGATGAATGGTAGCAACATGATCCCCAGCAGTGCATCAGCTTTGGGTAAAGATGATGTCACTGGATGAACAGTATAAGGCTTGATGTGTCACTGACAACAACTACAGTACGTCATCACACGAATGTAATCTGACAACAATCTGCTGCTAACCCCTCCGTTCCTTCACGTATGATTTAACCTCCCCTACAGTACAGTGACAGATTGTTGATTGTTCACAAAGAAAGACTCTCGCGGCTGCTAGGGCCGGACATTAAATGGACACAGAGGACACCAGAGGTGAACTGAGAGTGCACAGAGGAAAGACGGCTGTTTGTGACAATGATGGTAGAAACTGGGCTCAGCAACGAGGAGAGCAAAAAGAACAAGAATCTATGTACAGCTTGGATTTTTGCAATATTCCTTTTCTCACATCCTCATCTGACCGGCTCGTCTTCTTGACAGTTTAGACCTGAGAGGAAGGTGAGACACGTACATGAAATATACCAGTTTGTCTTTAATTACACTGAAGACACTTAAAACAGCTCTTTAGTTAGAAAATACAATGGATGGAAAAACATATTCACACCTCTTGACAGTCTCTGTTTTGTTGCCTTGAATTTAAAAATAATTTTGGGTGTTGTGAATTTTAAGTTGAGCATGAAAAGTTGTATTAAATGGTCGAAATATTGTTTGTGAAATGACAACCCCCC